CTATCTTCACTATAACGATTCTAGTACTAAAGTTTTTACATATTTGTTGGTCTTGTTAATAATAATAATAGTTATTACTACTTGCTGGTACTCAGACATAGAATCTATTTTACTTTTGGAATGTAAACTTGTTTGTTCTTCTAGGATTTAGTTTCTAATGGTCTGAATTTCCCAAAACATTGAAACATCTTGTCTTCTGTTTTAGTGCTGTCATTTTGTTGATGATCAGTGAATTAGTATTTGTGTATTAGGTCATGAAATTCAGTGTTTGGACATAGTTGAATTGATTTATTAAATTATGAAACTTGATTTATAATTCTTCCATTGATCCCAGAAAGCTGTCTTGTATTCCTAATAAGATTCACTTGGTTTTTAAATAGCATTAGTTATGAACTACAGGAAAGTTTATGGTATGTCTTGTGTACATACTTTTGATGTATTGTTGTTGTTTTGTATACATTTAAGATTTCAGCTGAAATACTTGTTATATTGTTCCAAAATTAGTTTTAGTGATTTGAATTTTCACGTAAGAACAATTTAATGTATATTGTTGGAAATGCTTGAAACAATGGACTTGTAAAACTTGTTTATCCATTCAGTTTTAACAGAAAACAAGTCTTGTAGTTAGTGTTGCTAGTTTACTGTATTAACTAACTCCATGGTTATTAACTGTTTTCCAGATGGTGAGCTTGTAGTCAAAATAATGTTGAAACTGTTGAAGATGAATATTTCTGACTGGTAAGTAACCATGGAAATTTGATTTGTTTTCGTACAGTTCTTAATACTATAAAAACATCTTGTACAACAGAATAGTGTTAATTTTAGTTTTAACTTGACTGTAATAAACAATATTACTCCTAAGCAATGTAAAACAATCCTCTTACTTCGCCTGGTTAGAGATTATCTCTACTCTGGCCTCTTTGAGGAGAAATGAAGACTCTCTTAAAACTCTCAAGCCTCGTTTTACGCTTGTGTATCCTGTTGAGAGTTACAGAAATGTTACATCTTTTTATTTAAAAAAATTTTTTTTGAATGCATATTTAAAATATTTCTGGTACAATTCTACCAGCAGGATATCAACCACTTCAGAAAGTTGCTGTTGTGGAAAGACAGGTGCAAGATGGGGAATTGTTAGAATGAAAATAATTGAAGCCAGTTGAAGCATTGGTGGATGAAATCTGGTTTAAGAATTACAGAAATAAATCATTGTGATCTTTTCCTGAACGGGTAAGTGTTTGTTGAGTTTGATAGGTGTGAATAGAATACTATCCTACAAGACAGTTTTTGATCCTACTGTTGTAAACATATAGAAATTATTTGATTGAATGTTTTATTCTAAATATTAAGGTGTTTTCTTGGAATATCTAACTGATGACGACATTGACAAGAGCTTGAAGTGGTTGTTGGTTTGGAATATGATTGGAATTTTTATTGTTGGGGAATAAATGCCCAGTGTTTTACTTCAGTCTTAAAACTTGCTTCTTGTGCACATACAGTAAACTAAAACTTCTTTCAAGTGTTCTGTTTTTGTGAGGACAAATGTGCATGTATGAAGCCACACAAGTAGTCAAACATTATAGGCTAATTTTTGGAAAGATTAATTAATGCTGAATGTTAGAATTCTCAAATGTGTATATTAACAGTATTATGTAATGCATAGGAACATTTATTTAGTTACTTGTGAGGAAAGTTGCCCTCCTGTGGTTTTTCAAATGTTAGGATGTTATTTGTGGCCTCGTGGTTAAAAACAAAAGCCCTGTGTATCAGATAACAAACCTACTACATATTACTGTGTGTTTTTCACTAACCCTTATTCAACTGTTACAAATATGATCTGTTTTTAAGATTTCCTTGGTAATCCAAAACCAATTAGTAATCTTCAATTTCAAAGTTAAGTATGATCATCATATTTAATACAAAATTGGAATAAACAAGTCAGATCCTATCATAATATATTCAAACTCTGTACATGATGCAATTCACTGTGCAAACGTGTTATCAACCATCAATTGGAGTGATAAAAAAACCACATGGAAGCCTGTGGTAAATAAACTTAACAGTACATTATTCTATAGTCCAGTGGATATTCTTAAATAACCATACATTCTACTTAGTGAAACTTGTGGTTTGACTTCAGTGTTTGTTTGAATCTTTTCAATGTAGAACTCTTTTCCACGTGGAGATTCTGTTGGAAGCTGTAGTAAATATATCTACATTATTCAGTAGTTGGATAGCTGAGACATGGGCATCATCAACATCACAAGCCTTTTCTTCCATAGACAACTTGCTTTATCATTAGTGGTGAAGATGATAGGCTCTTGACTGTAATGTACTAGATGTATTTAAGTAACTTGGTTTTAGTTTTGATTTATTTTAATGGTAGACATTTGTTGAAATCCTGGAAAAAGCATTGATGTGATCTTGTTCTTGGATGGCATGGGCCATTGTAAATCTTTAACTTGTAGTAAAACAATTATTAAATCTTCAAAGGGTTAGTATTATAACCACCCTATATCTGGACAATGTACAAAATAATTATTAATATTTTAAGGCAGTGAGTGAAATGTAATATTTAGTAGTAATGGCTAGTTGATTTGTTGCAGTGTATGCTAATATAGGAACTTTTCAATCACTTCATTCCTGTAAGAACTTGTTCACGAAGTATCAGTCTTTCTTCTTTCACCCTACCAGCTACAAACAATTATCTTCAAACATTTTATTTAAAATCTATCGTAAGTTAGATATATTTGTAATGTTATAGGCCTGCTCATTCTTTGTAATTTCCTCTAGGTGACAAATTACAGTTAAAGTTGTAATAATAGTGTAAAATCGTTTTTGAGAAACTCGCACATGTATAACATTGATTATATGGGTACCCCTGGAAACGTAATTTGTAAGAGCCTTTTTGTTAATGTTATGGTGAGTTAGCTGGTTGCCTTTTTACTTGTGCTTGTACACGAGTGTCATAAGCGATACGTTATCAAAGTATTGCTTTTATGTGTTAGTGTCAACTTTTTTGTAGTTGGCATTAGTCATCTGTCAATTACTGGAACTAGTGCCTCTACTTTGTTACTAGGAATAGCATCATTTATCTTTAAATCTATTGTAACTTAATTCTCAATGCCAATAATCTTTAGCTTCTCAATGCTTTTTTTTTTCTATACACGTGTTACATTTTACTGCTTCCTCTGTCTATAATAACACCTTAAATTTGGAAGTTACCATGAAACAATTACCCAAAATTCCTTCACTCCCCTTAAGAATTTTCTTGTGTCATAAGAAAATTTCCACTATCAAACTATTGTACTTCCAACTCCACTTCAGTCAATGTGTAATGAGTTATGCCCTAGTAGGCTTAGTTGTTAGTTTCAATTAAAACTATTTGTCACACCAAATTTGTTTGTAGAATTGTCTTGGGCCAAGGGTGAACTTTTATTAATTCATCTAATTAACAGTATAAAACAACCTTGTTTATTACAAACAAACATAATGGTTTTCAAATCAATTAATACGTCTTTAACATACACTTTCATTAATATATGTAGAATATTGATACTAACTAAGAGAACAGTAAAGTACTTACAATGGGGTTGGATCGGGAACTGAATAGTGTTAAACTTTACTCAAGTTGCTAACTCGGAGTTTACGGTTAACTAAAGAAATAGCCTCAGGCCAAGAGCAAACACTCAAAATAACATTTACATTATCAACATTAAAAACTTCTCAAACTTCTGGATACTTCTTCTCAACCCCGGAGATCTTCTGAAGAGAACTTTTCTTCCATCCTGGAGAACTTCTTAGTCTTGGAAAAACTGCTGGAGAGAACTGATTTTTCAGCCTCAGACATGGGTTTTTAAATTAGTTATCAAAAGATTACTGCTAAAACTACTATTTAGACTTAAATTTCTTACACTAGCTGATCAAGAAAGACTATACTTACAGTAGAGTTTGGGTTTTTGAGGCTATATATAGCCACGTTGGTAAACTTCACTTTCATTTTGGGAACAACTTCAGTCTGAGGAACTTGCTGTCCTGGAGAGCTGATTTTTTCAGCCTCTGACATGGGTTTTTTAAACTGTGCTCCTGTTGGATACTTTAGAATGGCGGCCCCACTCAAATTTACTGGGCAAAAACATATGAAAGAATATAAAAAATTATTTATTCATATTCATGTATTTCAATAACATTTCCAGAAGTTATAAATGCTCTCTAATTGATTAACAATGAGGTGAATGAGAAGGATGTGCTTCGTAGTCTTAGTTCCTCCCGTTCCGTTGAGACCTCGCCATCTGCCTCTGTCATGAGCGGTCTCTACCGCTTTGTCAAATGTTAGATCCACCAGTTCCAAATCCTCTTTAAAAGTTCTTCGCAATGTCTTCTTTG